AGGAGCAAAGTCCCACCGAGTTGAAGAAGGATAAGTTTGATCACCACCTCCAAGGGAGGCAGCTCCATGCCCTGCGGTGGGAGAGTCAAATTTAAGTGGCTTGCGTGCATCAATTATAGAGGGTAATGGAGACGTGGAAAAGAGAACAAAGCGGTCGCAGCCAAATTCTGAACTCCACTAGCAGCGGAATTTGTCCATCCCTCGGGCTGGTGCCACCATCCTTTTCATATGTTTCCTGTGCCGTCGATTTACGGCCTTCTACAGGTCCTATTGAATGGAGAGCTTGGTCTACATCGGGCACCGGTTTTCGATTCCATGTACATGAAAAACGGCCCAATCCACAGGCAGTCGTAAGAGCCTCGTCTCGTGATCGGACCTGCCTCTCGCCTTCCGGTTGGTCGCCCGGATTCTCTGCTCTTGGCATTTCCAAGACAAGCCGAGGACATGGACGGGAATATACAACACCGAGCATAACATTCCTTCGTACTTAAGCATTCACATTCCTCCTTGCTTCCGCGTATCCTAGGAATATCGCTCCCGCGAGAAAAGACCTTGGACCGCGATGCGGCAACAGGTGGAATCGGACGGGCGGGAAAATATGGGCCGTTCTGGACGTCGTAGTTTTACCCCTAACCAACCCTTCTTCTTCGAAACTTCGCCCTCGGCCAGCTTCAGGGACATCTTTTGAATGCATAAGTCTGCAGCTGGAGGGGACTGTGACAAGGAAATCGTCTACCTCGCTCGGTCAGGCTCGTGATCGGAAATAATTCTTTGGAGGGGGAGGTTAACACGACAAGACCTACTTTGTGCCGTCACCCATCAATGGCGAGTACTGCCAGACATGGATACAAAGTTACAGACGATAGTATAGAATGGTTCTTACGGAAGCCTGGAAAAGCGGCGCATGGAGCGAATGTGTGCGGTCCGTCCACGCAAAAAAAAGTCAAGGAAAGAAGCGATGTAGGCTAAACGTATCAAGCACCCGGTTTTGAAGTCCATAAAACTGACCAACATGATTCTTTCTCCGCATCCCCGTCCCCGTCACAAAAAAAGGCTGAGTGCGAGACTAACAAAAGTAAGATCCGAACCGTGGATGGTCGCGGATGGTCGGGTCGTACACATGAAAAACCTCCTCCTGTAAGCCAACCCCATCCATCGCGTGGAGGGCCATCGGCCTCCCTTCCGCCTCTATATGCTACACGGAGACGTATCTCACGCCTCCTTCCTCCTTTTTGCCTCCTTTCCCCGTCTCCCTTCCTTCCTATTTGTACCGCACATCTATCTCCTCCTCCTCCAGCACCAAGTCCAAGCCCATCAAGGCGTCGTAGTGCTTCTTGACGTCGCTCTCGGCCACAAAGGTAAAGCCTTCCTTCCCCGCCCGCTTCAACAACTCCTCCTCCGTCCGCTCTTCCTCGGGGTTTTGTTGCAATGTCCGGGCAACGAACTCGCGTCCGACCCGCTCGGGCGTGAGCTCTTCCCCGAAGTAGACGTGGACAGGACGCCGAGCTACCAATCGCCGCTCCCCCACCTCCATCGCCACCTTGGCAGGGGGAGGGAGCACCTACGGAAAGGGGGAAAGAGGAGAGGGGAGGAAAAGGAAAAATATAAAGGGGTTGGGATGGGTGGGAAGAGAG